GCCTTCGGCTTCAAGAGGCCCATAAGATGCCCCCAGAGGCCCCCAAGAGGCCCCACGGGGCCCCAAGAGGCCCCCAAGCGGCCCCCAAGAGGCCCCCAGGCGGCCCCCAAGAAGCTCCCATGAGGCCCCCAGGACGCCCCAAAAAGCTTCCAAGAGTCCCCTCCCCGGACGCCCCGAGCCACTCCTGGCGATCGCGAGGCTTCTGACAAGGAGAGGCGACGAACGGCCTTCCTGACGCGCTCTTGGGCCGTCTTCGAGCTTAAGGTGCCCCAATCAAGGCCCAACAGGTCCCAGAAACGCCAAAGGATAGCTTCCCCTGGGTTCCCAAGAGACCTTCCAGAAACAACTGACCGGGAGACGCACCCAACCCTTTGTACACAAAAGGCGACTATACCCAGGACCGTTCATGTCCAACTTACGCCTTGAAGGAGTCGCCGTATCCTTGAACGCTTCGCCAAAGAACGTGAGGCCGCAGACCAGTGTTCCCCATTCACGGCATCACTCTTGCGACTCATATAATCGGAAAGAGGGCGATCACGATCTGACAAAAGAGCAATGACGAGGGGGGCACGAACGTGGCGACAGCTTCGCTGTTCGAAGCCCCCCAGGACGGCGAGGCCTCATTCTGGTCTGCGGATCACGCCGCTCCGCTGGACCCGCCAGCGGCCCACGAAGGTAGCGACAGTTTCGCACATCGCAGCCCCCCACTCGTTCCATCGTTCCTTTCCCAGTTTATCCTTCTCCTCTTCCTCCTGTTCTGACTCCCTCCTCGTCCTCTATCGCCCTCCTCGTGCCTTCTCCTCCTCTGTCCTCTCCTCTCTCTCTCTCTCTCTTTCCCTCCTCCTTTCCTCCTCACCTTCCCCGACCGTCTCTCTCCCTTCTTCCTCGCCCTCCTCTCCTCTGCTTCCCTTCATATCATTTCATCATCTTCTTCCCCGATCGTCTCACTGCAATGCTCTGCCCTCTCAGAGGGCTACTTATTCCCAAGAGAAGCGCGACGACCATGCAGCATGCAGTCTGTTTGGCCCGGGGGAAGTCCAGGGACAAATTTCGGGTGCGTCTTTGCGGAGGGAGCGGAGGGGGAGGATATTCTCGATGGAAAGGAAGGGAGGGGAGGAAGAGGATGAGGAAGAGGAGGAGGAGGAGGAGGAGGAGGAGGAGGACACAGAGGAGGAGGAGGAGGAGGAGGAGGAGGAGGAGGATATCAGCTACGACGCTACCATGGACCCCGACATCCAAGACGAACTCCGGGCATGGCTCACCGGGCGCTACCTCTGCGCCACGGAAGCCGCTTGGCGCGTTTTCAGCTAAAACACTTACGACAGGTGGCCGCACGTCGTTTGCCTCCACGTGGGCGGCCAAGACTGGGTTTTGTTCGAAGAGGGCAAGGAGGCCGAAGCACTCCAGGGGCGCACTTCCCATTTACAGCGGTATTTCCACCGCCCCTCTGTGAGCCAGTTCTCCACGTTAAAGTACAACGAGTGCTACGAGCAGTGCATGATTGCCCCCGCTTGCCCCGTTCGCCTACGCGGCAACTTCCCATTCCCCGAGGCCGCCCCGGCGCCCGAATGGACCAGGCGCCCCAAGGACAACGCCATTTCGTGTGCCCACGGCAACGCGGGGAAACCCCTATCTGCAGGCTGGAAATGAAGTTCCCCCGGCAGAAGGAAGTCTTCTATCTCCGGCACATGCTATTGAATTTCCCCAAGCAGGACTTCCGTGATTGTCGCACTCACAACGGACACGTACGTGCCACGTACGAGGAGGCCCTGCACGCCACCAGCCTGTTCGCCGCCAACACGGAGGCCCATGAGGTCCTTGACGAGCTCATTCAGCTGAGGTACGCTGCCAGCCAGTTGCGCTTCGCTTTCCTCGTGCTCCTCGAGCAGGATGCAGCGCCGGTGGAGCTTTTCGCAAAGTACGAACGACCGCTGATGAAAGACTTCTTGGACCGATGGGCTGTCTCCGCAGCGCGCGCGGGAGCACCTCGTCCGCCTGCTCAAGGCCACCTGGTTGGAGAGCGGCAACCTCGAATCCACGTGGAAGCTGTCGGACACGGATGGCGAGAATCACTTGCCAGCGCCAAACTTGAACTCATTCTTCCATTTTTTCACCTCGCTCACGCACACGGCGTTGCTCCTTGACCGCCATGACCGCGACCCCTCTCGTGGTCGCCGCTTCCTCTAACCCCTCATCGGTGACTATGGCCTCGTCGCGGTATGTCGCCGTCTCCCGAACACAGGAATGCTTATGACCCGTCCGGGAATTATGACCGCGACCCCTCTCATGGTCATCATGTGCTTGCAGACATCATTCATTCACCGAGTGTTTGGGTGCGCATGGGCGCAGGACCAAGTTTGAGGCGAAGCGAAGCGAGCCCTCAAATCTTGTGTATATATATATACATATATATATATATATGTGTATCTATGGAGAGAGAGAGAGAGAAAGAGAGAGAGAGAGAGAGATTGTATGCTTTATCTGTTTACAGTCCTGGTGGGGGGGGGAAAGGGCGGCCGACGGGCGCCCCGAGGGCCCCAAGAGGCCCCAGACACCCACCAGACGTCCGAAGACGACCCAAAGAAGACCCCTTTAAGAGGCTCCTGCAACGAATAAACAATAATTTTCTTTCGGATTTCGCTGATGTGGGGAATGCTATGTTCTTCGGTCTTCCGGGCGTCCGAGACCGCCCAGGAGGCCCGAACATCGCCCCGAAACTACCCGAAATAGCTTCCAGGCAGACCAAGGAAGCCCCAAGACTGCGCAACAGGCCCCCAAGATGGCCCCACGATGGCCCCAAGATGCCTCCGAAGCATTCCAAATTGTGACCGGGTCGTTCAGGGAAACTGCAGTTGGAAGCAGGGTGGCCCGAGGAAGCCCCTAGAAGGAGCCCAGGAGACCTCCACAAGGCTCCAAGAAGCCTTTCAAAACCTTCGTGAGGGCTTCAAGAGGCTCCAAGGAGGAGCCTCCGCAAAACGAGCTGAGGAGGATGAGGAAGAATTCGCAGGGTGGGGTGAGAATGAGGGAGAGAAAGAGGAACATGAGGGAACGATCATGAATAACATTGTCATACTGGCGATGTCGGAAAAAAGACAACAATGAGTTATCGCTAAAGTTTGAGTTGGCACTCTTGCCTTTTCGCTTGCATGCCAAATTTCAAGGACCAAGGTGCATGGCGCGAAGCGCCAATGCAGTCCTGTGTATATATATATATATACACACATGCATGCATGCATGCTTCCCCGACGCTTCCCCGACAAGTAAACATCTTCCTGCCAACCACGGGCGTTGGCCGCAGTGTGCGCGCTGCGGGGGCCTATCAGGGGCCCTCACCATTGCGGACAAGAGGCGTGTTGGAGATGTCGGGGCATCTCTTGGAAAGTCTCTCGGAATCCAGTCTGGGGCTTCCGAAGAGGCGTTCAGAAGGCTATGGGTGCGTCTTGGGGTTATTTTTGAGGGCCCGTTGGGGCCTCCCTGGGGTACCTTGGAGCGTCTTATGGCTTTTGTTCGAGACATCTTGGGATGAACCTGGGACGGAGGCCTCGAAATGTGAGTTCGAGCTCTCTTTCTCACAACCTTTTGGGGCCCTCTTGGGGCTTTCGGGTTTCATTGTGGCTGCGTGTTGGGCCGCCATGGGGTCCTCTTGGCCTGTCTTGGGGCCGTATCGTGAGCCTCATGGATCGGCTTGGGGCGATATTGGGGTATTTTGTGTATACATGACATGCGTGTGTAGATACATCGATGCATATATACGTGTGCAAATATGTATACGTGCACAGATGTACAATCGGGGGCGTCAGAACGAACGTGCGATGCTCAGCATGCGATGCGCTCCAACCGTGCAGGTATGTACACATCAAGTCTTATGATTTCGCTGCGGGATGCCATCAGGCGGGAGCACGATGTTGAACAAAAGCAGCACCCTATCATAACAGTTGTTGGAAACCAGAGGCTGCAGGTGCACGAAACGTGGTGGTGCCCCAGGCGGTGACTCGTTTACTAACCTCGCATTATGTGCAAGCGTTGGACATGCCAAGCTGTCCTGCCCTGACGCGTGAGGAAGTCTGAGGCGGAACGCTCAGGCCCCCTGACCAACACGTGGGATGGTTCGACGAGGTGGATGACACATTTATCGAATGGCCGTCGGACAATCCCGCCACCGTGCCTGAGTTCTGGGTCAGAGTTCTCAGGGACGCTTTTTCGGATCTCTTCGGAGCGCTCTCGGGGGCCTCTTAGGAGCAGTTTGGGGGCCTCTTCGAAGCCTCTTGGGAGCCTCCTGGGGGCCTCTTGGGGGCCTTTGGGGACATCTTGGGTGCCTCTTGGGGCCTCCTGGGAGCCCCTCGGGGCCGAGGACTCGAAATGTCCGTTCGGGCCCTCTTGGGGCCGTCCTTGGGCCCCCTTGGGCAGTCTTGGGCGCCTCTTGGACCGTCTTGGGGCCCTCTTGGGCCGTCTTGGGGCCCTCTTGCCCTCTTGGGGGCATCTTGGGCCGTCTTGGGGCGGTCTTGGGGGGCCACTTGGGCTGTCTTGGAGCGTCGAGAAGCGAAAAGGCGAGAAGGCCAAAACCAGTCAAAAACCGAAGGAAAACCAATGATGTTGGCCTCTTGGGGGGGAGGCCTCTTGAAGGCTTCTGGGGCCGTCTTGGAGGCCTCTTGGGCCAATATTGGGTCCAGCTTGGGCGTCCTGGGCCGATCTCTGGGCGTGGCCGGGCCCTCTCATGCCGTCGTGAAGGCCTCTTGGAGCCCTGCTGGCCGGTCTCCAGGCCCCCATTGGGCCCCAGAAGGTCACGCGGGGAGCCGCGGGGGAGCCCGGATGGCATGCGACAAGCCCCCGCAGCAGAGTTCGGTATTTGGGGCCCGTGCCCCGCAGAGACTCTTCAGGGTTGAGGACTGAGAGGCCCCAGGGATCCAGCAGAGGACCCGAGGACATGCCCACTTCGTGCCCAGAGGCGCACGGTGGCAGACAGGAGAGGGGAAGCTGAGGGGCGTCGTGGCCGTCCTGGTTCAAGACAGGCGTCAGTGCCGTTCCGGCACTCGGACGCTCCGTCAGACGAACAGGCTGTGCTGGCCTGGATCTCACATGATACTTTAGGTCCATAGGCGCATCACGAACATGATGCTCGGCGCTCGGGCAGCAAGCGCGGCGTTCTGCGTGTCTGGTCTCACCTTGTCTTTGAATTTGGGCACCGCCTCTGCGCTGCTTTCCTCCAAGCGCGTTCAAAAGGGGGACGGCAAGGTGGATCTGTGGCATGCAGTTCAGGAGATGAAGGCGGCGGACAAAAAGGTGTGCGTCACGGTCAATGGCCCGTACATGGGTGGAATGGCTAACGTGGTCGCATTCTTCAACGAGGGCGTGGAGTTCGCCTTGAAGGCTGGAGTCCCATTCGTCTTTCCCCCGCTTCGCTCGTCGGCCACGACGCACAAGGACATCGGCGACGAGTTCGTGGATCTGTTCGGGCACGCGACGGAGCCCGATGACGCGTGTGGTGGAAGGGCCTCCCGGCACGACGCTTCTTGCGAGAAGCCGTGCAAGGCTTTTGGGGGCAAGAGCTTCTGCGGCCCCGAGGAGAAGTGGGCCCACGTGAAGAGGTGCCCGGTGGCCAACATGTCTGTGGACCTCGTGTCTGAAACTCCGAGGGGCGACGCCAAGTGCCAGTGCCCAAATCTCGTCGTCCTGGACGGTGCTGGCATAGCATTCTGGGGCAGGGGCTGGGACTACAAGAAGACACACGGGTACCTGTCTGAGCACTACTGGCAGGCGGAGAGCAGCAAGGCCGTGCCGGTCAATTTCGCAGCTCACATGAGCATCCCATCAAAGAAGTACAGCGTGGTGGCTCACGTGCGCCTCGGCGATGTAAAGAAAGCGGACAAGCACTCGAAGATAGCGCTCAAGCGCGCCGACCCAGAGTGGATCTTGGCGGCGTTGCAGAAGATCGCAGAGAAGTTGCCCGAGAGTTGCGCCCACTTCACCCTTGTGACGGACGCAGAGGACCAGGAAGGCGGGGAGGTTGTGGGGATAAAATATATATATATATATATATATATATATATATACGCGGATACATGCATACAAACATACCTACCTACCTACCTACCTACCTACCTACCTACCTACCTGCCTGCCTACCGACCTACCTACCTACATATATGTGTATAGATATGTATATATAGACACACATATATTTACATATATTTATATATATAAATATATATATATATATATATATATGGATCCCGCTACTCCCCAGACCTCTTCTGGGGTGCGTTCTGCCCAGACTCGAGGAGAATCCAGCCGTGGCGACGAGAGCTCTCCAGGACGAGCAGCGGCATCGGTGCTTCTTCCTGCCCTGAGGTTGGCAGCATCGTGAGCAAGTTCGCCAGCCGCACCCAGGGCAGGAAGATCTCGGTGGTCGGGCCCGAGGCCGCGACCGTGGACGTCTTCCGCCTCGTGCCCTGCCCCGTCTCCTTTCTCATCCCGTCCACGTTTTCATCCCCGTCCACATCCTCCCCTGACTTCGGATCCGCCGTGCTTTGGGCGATTTCGCAAGTGGGGCGGAAATGTCCGCCCTGCTTGTTCAAGCTCACTTGATGTCGATATCCGATCTATTGTGCCGTCGCTGATTCCGCTACACTTTTGCTTCAACATCAGCCTTGTATGTTTCAGGCTTCAGCCTCGCGTTGTTTGGGCTGCATGTCCGACACATTCGTAAGCCGGAAAATCAGCCAAAGTACGGCGGATCCAAAGTCAGGGAGAGTTTGTTCTTCTTCCTCCTCTTCCTGCTCCTCATCCTTCTCCACCTCTCCTCATCCTACTCCTCCACCTCCTCCTCCTCCTCCTTCTCCTTCTCCTGCTCCTCATCCTCCGCCTCCTCCTCATCCTTCTCCTCCTCCTCCTCCTCCTCCTCCTCCTCCTCCTCCTCCTTCTCCCCCTGGGAGGCCGCGACCGTGGATGCCTTCCGCCTCATGACCCACGCCGACGTGCTGCTGGCCGGGGGCAGTGACTTCTCGCGGCTCGCCGCCGTGCTCGCCCGCGACACGTCCGCCGTGTTCGTGCAGGACTTTGGTGGCACAGTCAAAACGCATAGTAAGGATGAGCGACTTTCCAAGGCTACCCTTGCATCCTTGCCCCTTCGGCCCATCCTGAGCGACTTTCGTTGGCCAACCTCGTTCGAGAAACGGTCACGAGGCCCTTCAAGGCCCTGGAACCCTTACCGCGCATCCTTGTTACGCGGGTTTACGGATTGACTGTCCCATGGGCGGTGGCCCCAGGGGGGGGGGGGGGGGGGGGGCGGCCTTCTGAAGGGTTTTCGTCGAAGCCTTTTCCGAAGACGGAGACGGCTTCTCAGAAGGCTGGAGGGCTTCTGACACGCCCCGCCGTGTGAGAAGGACTGCCCCCTCTCATTTCCCCCCTGGGCCCGCCGCCGCTCCCGGACATGCATTGCTCCCGCCCCTCTGCATCGGCTCTCGGCGGTCTTCCAGCCGCGGGATGCTCTCCAGCAGCTGCGCCTCGCCGAGGGCGTTCCAGGGGTGCCCGGATCATCCCGAACGGCCGCTGGAGAGCTGTGGCCCGAAAACCCAGGGAAGCTCGCGTCGTGGGAAAAAAACGACGGGTTGCTTTTGACAGTCTTCAACCTCCGGGGGGCCCTCGCTGGGCTCCGGGGCCGCCCATGAAGGCCGACGCGTGATGAAAAGCCGGCCTTGGGGAAAGGGTCGGGACCTCCGGGCCGGGGACCCCGTCTTGAAAAAGACAAGACCTCGCACGTCTGATTTCGGGCTGCGCACAGACAGCCCCCCCCCCCCTCCCCCAGAGGTAGTCCTGGCTGGCCTCAACGGGACCTCTTTTGGGGGGGGCGCTGAATGGGGGGCGGAGAAACGTGCACCTTTTGGGCGCCCCAGGGGGCCCCTTTAGGGAGCCTGGGGTGCACAAAAGGTGCACCTTTCTCACCCCCCATCCTTAAGCCGGGCTTGTCACTCTACAGGAGGAATATTCGAAAATAGTCGAAGAATAGTCTGGGGACTATTTTTGGAGCCTTTTTGAACATTGCTTTAATATTGTTTGGGCGCGTTTATCATTTTCATACAAAATCCGCCTGTAGGGGGACATGCCCGACCTAACCCCATTCGCAACGTCCGACCACCAGGTGACTACCACCAGCTGGGCTCAGCAGGCACCCCGAGTGGCCTGGGGCGCCAGGGCGTTGGGCCCGCCCCAGACTGCTCGGGAGGCTTGCTTCAAGCAGTGGCGAAGCGTCCTGGCTCGCTCGGAGGCCACCAAGGAATGTTCTGAGAGCCTCTTGCGGTTGGCACGACACCTTCGTAAAACATGTCTGGCTGAGGCCGTCTTGTTTTAATGCATCGGCTTTTATGTGATAAGGACACGGCGCCTGTTTTTCTAACATTATTTTGGTATAAGAAGATAACCTGTTAGGCCTCTAGGAATGCCGGGGCGGTCGGCCCCTGCCCAATTGTAGATATCTGGGGGGTCCTGTTGAGGCCGGCCGGCACTCCCAGGGGGGGGGGGGGGCCGTTTGTGCACAGCCCGAAGCTCCACCGTGCAGGACTTCCAGAATTCCGTCGTCAACAACGTCCGCTTCTCGCGGCCGTCCCTGGAGTTCCTGCCGAACCGCACGACCCTGCCGCTCCAGAGGCTGACGGCCGTCGGGCCCAAGATCGCCGAGAACAAGGCTTAAGTCGGGCCTGTCCCTCTACAGGAGGAATGTTCAAAAATAGGCCCCCAAAAAATAGTACGGGGATCATTTTTGGAGTATTTTGGTTTACCATTTTGGAGCATCGTTTGCGTATTTTTTTTGCTCGTCGAAAATCCCCCCTGTAGGGGGACACGCCCGACTGGAAACAAGGCGCTGAGGCGGCTGATGAGAGCCTGCGGCGCCCTGCCGGCGGCGGCCGACGAGGCGGGAAGCCAGCCCGCCGTCCGCCTGCAGAAGGCGACCGGAGGAGGGCGAGCGGAGACAGCGCCTCACCCTCGGGGGCAACGACAGGGGGGGGGGATGGGCACAGGGGGGGGGATGGGCACAGGGGGGGGGGATGGGGCACAGGGGGGGGGGGATGCAGCGACCCCCAATCGCCCATGGATCGCCGATAGGGGCCCGATGGCCCCACCCCGCCCAGGAAGGTGCGGACTCGCTATCGGGCGCCCATCGCCGACCTGTCGGCGGTGTATCGCCGATTCCAGGTCGATGCATCTCCCCCTATGCCTATCCCCCCCTTTCGTTGCCCCTCATACCCAGACCCCCGACGTCGTCCCAGGCACGATCGCGTCGTACGAAACATCAGGACGGGAGGTTTTTCGCCGTTTTCGGCCTCGGGGGGCCCTCGCTGGGCCTCGGGACCGTCAGAGATCGACTCAGGATGGAAAACCGGTCCTGGGGAGAGGGTCTGGACTTCCGGGAACGCCGTCCTGACAAAAGTCAGGACGTCGCATGTCTGGGGTGATCGTTTCACGACGTCGACCCGCAGAGGTCTGGGCCCCTTCCCCAGGACCAGTTTTTCGACCAAGGTCGTTGTTTGACAGGCCCGAGGCCGGGCGAGGACCCCCCTGGAGGCCGAGGACAGCGAAGGACCTCCCGTCGTGATGTCTGCTCCCAGCGCGAAAAGGGGTCTGGGTTGTGGGCCCTCTCGGGGGGTCCCCCGTGCCGCCACGGCTGGGCGCAGCTCGTCGAAGTGGCGCGCGTGGGGCCCCGGGCGGGGTCCGGGGATCGATTCGGAGTTGCCGTTGTCTCAGTTCGCCCTGCTCCGAGGTGAGGGGGAAGGTCTCCCTGAAGGACGGGGCGGCGGGCTCCAAGGGCAGCAAGGCGGGCGCCGCGCAGGCCAAGAAGGCTGGGGCCGACGCCAGCGCCAACGCGACATACGTGGCGGCGTACCAGGCGTTCATGGACAAGTGGCCCGTCACGAGGTACAACATGTTCAAGAGCTTCTCGCGCGTGACGAAGTACGGCCGCCACAAGTTCCCAGGGACGGTGCTGAAGTCGCCAGGGCTCTTCAAGAAGTTCGACTGGGTTGTGACTGGCCCGTACTCGCACAAGCATGGGGAGGACCCAAAGACGTTGTTCGTCCAGGGCACACCAGATCAGCTGGACAACCTGCTGGAGACGGCCCGGGAGCAGTTTGATTCCAGTCGTCACGACCGGGTGCTCGTGCTGGGCGGCAGCGACATGTGGCTCTCGGAGGTGCTGACCCACACCGACAACTTCCACACCACGGAGCACAACCCCGACGGCTACCACGACATCATCAAGGCCCAGGCCCCTGAGGTGAACGGGACGCTCAAGGAGCTGCACAAGTACTTCGGGCGCATCTTCTTCGAGGCCAAGGACATGCACATCGGCGACGTCAGGACCATGCCCATCGGCCTCACCGAGTTCAACCTGCGCAGGCAGGACGTCTTCGACACCTGCTGGCCCGAGGTGGAGGCCGCGGGCGTCTCCGACGAGGCCAAGCCCCACGGCGTCCTGGCCGCCTTCGGCATCTACCACGACCTCTCGCACTGCAACCGCGGCCTCGGCAGGGCCGTGGCGCTGCGCGAGGAGGCGCGGGCCTGGAGCAACAGCAGCGCCGCGCTCGCCGCCGGGGTGCGCACGGGCATCGTGGAGCCGCTGGACTGGTGGAGGACGCTCTCCGCGCACAAGTTCATGATGGCCCCCGCGGGCTGCGGCGTGCAGGCGCCGAAGCAGCTGGAGGCGCTCATGGTGCTGACCGTCCCCATCCACCACCGCGCCTTCCCCGCCTGGGACGACCTGAAGTCCTACGGCTTCCCGATCGTGGTGGTCAGCGACTGGAGCGAGGTGACCAAGGAGGCCACCGGCAGGTGGTGGAAGGACCGGCGGCGCGGCAGGGGTCGGTGGCGAGCCCCCGGGGGGGCAGCGAGCAGGGGCGGGCCTCCCCAGAGGGCTCGGGAGGCCCCCCGTGGCCCTCCGAGGAGTGGTTTTCTGCGGGCGCGGGGCGTGTCTCGGAGGGCGCGAGGGCTTCGGAGGAGCCCCGCCGCCCTCTGAGAGGGCCCTCTCCTCCTCGCTCCCCCCCCCCCCTGGCTTGCCGCCGAGGGGAACGGCTGCCGGGGGGCAGGCCGCCTCAGAAGGGCCCGCCCCCAATCCCTCGGGTTGACCCAAGGAGGGGTCCAGCGACAAGGGGGTGGTACAATCGATTTAGTGCAATATCGGATAGTCGGGCTGCCATACGTTTGGGGCGTGCAATACATTCCGGGGCCCCCTTGTATTGCTGGATTTGTGCGTGCAATACATTTATTCGCAAGACAGTGCACTACACTTCTCTGGCGCAATACGTTTGCAGTCCAATTGCCCCAAATCTATTCCACCACCCCCTTTCAGCTGGACCCCCTTTTGCGTCACCCAACATCCCGCCTCCCCCCCTCGGCGCGCCGCCGACAGGAGCTTTCACCTCGCCTCGTGAGCTTCCGGGAGAACTGCCTCACGACGGAGGGGTACTGGAAGCTCTTCACCGGGCAGGTCGAGTACTGCAGCTGAGCTCCGGCGCCGCCCGCTCCCATCTTCCCCGCGCCGCCCGGCGCCCCGCGAGGCACCGGCTGCCCGACGGGGCAGAGCCTGCGGCGCACGTCGCCTCACCGAGTGGCGAGGCGTTGGCGGAGGAGGGCGAGCGGAGCGGGAAGTTCGGCTGGACGTAAGAGTGACCTTTCGCTGGAGTGACCTCTGGTGCGGGCACAGATGGGTCCTCATGTGGCCGAGAAACGAAGCGGTAGCAGCGGCTTGCGCGCCCCGGTTTGGTCTCCCCGCGGCCCCCCAAAAAGCCGCGCACCAAAGGCCATTCTTACCCAGGGTCACTCTTGCGCGTAGCCGAGAACAGAATCGGCGGCGAGCGAGGGGGGGAGTGAGAAGGAGAAGGCCTTCTCAGAGGGCGGAGGGGCTCCTCGGAAGCCCTCCGAGGCCTTCCGAGAAGTTGTGCTTTGCCTTCGGGAAAGGCCTGGGGAACTTCCCAGATGGCTGGGGGCCCTCCGAGCCTTCTGAGAAGGCCTTCTCCTTCTCGCTTCCCCCCCATCGCTCGCCGCCGAGAGGAGGAGTGGAGGAGGGGCGAAGCCGAAGCCGGTCGGGCGAAGAAGGAGGGAAGTCACGCCCATCAGCACGCCCTGTGGACGCCAGCTCTCGCTCAAGGAGATCGAGAACGTGCACTTGGCCCCAGGGGCGTTTGCTCGGAGCTCCTTGAATCGTCGACCTGTTTCGTATCTCTGGGCCTGTCCTGGAGAAAGAGGAGGAGGAGGAGGAGGAGGAGGAGGAGGAGGAGGAGGAGGAGGAGGAGGCGGAGGAGGAGGAGGAGAAGGAGGAGGAGGAGGAGGAGGAGGAGGAGGAGGAGAAGGAGGAGCAGGAGGAGGAGAAGGAGGAGGCGGGAAAAGGAGGGAGAGGAGGAGGAGGAGGAGGAGGAGGAGGAGGGGAGGATGGGGGGCGGAGGAGGAGGAGAAGGAGGAGGAGGAGGAGGAGGAGGAGGAGAGGGAGGAGGAGAGGAGGAGGAGGAGGGAGGAGGAGGAGGAGAGGAGGAGGAGGATGGGGGCGGAGGAGGGGAGGAGCATGGGGGGGAAGGAGGAGGAGGAGGAGGAGGAGGAGGAAGGAGCGGAGGGGAGGAGGAGGAGGAGCAGGAGCAGGAGGAGGAGAGTGGTGGTGATGATGATGATGATGGTGGTGATGATGATGATGATGAGGAGGAGGAGGAGGAGGAGGAGGAGGAAGCGTAGAAAACGCTTGGAGTGAAGGCAATTTTCTTCGTGGGGGAGAGCAGGGGTCGGGCGAAACAGGGGGGATTGCAGCCAAAACCCATAGGAAGGAAGCAGCACGTCAGCAAGGGGACCCTCGCATCCCTGCCTCTTCGGCCAGTCCTTTTTGCCATGTTCCACGCCCTGGGACGAGGAAAGATATCAGCCACGCGCAGAAGGGGGGTAGCGGAGGGGGGAAGGCTTCTAGGCGCCTGCCTTCTCTGTAGATGTAGGGCCAGTGCCTTCTAAGGAGCAGCCTCCTTCTAAGAAGCCTTCCCCCCCTCCTCCTACCCCCTTGCGCGCGCTGTCAAGAACAGGGGAAGGGGGACTGCGAAATCTACGACATGTAGCTGGTTCGGCCCTGCCGCCAAGCGCTTTCCTCAATACATCGGCGCCTCCCGGCGCCGGGAGGCGATGGAGAAACCAGCTACGTGAGCTGATTCGCCAACCCCCCGTTCGCGAATTCCTTTTCCTCAGGAGGGAAAAAACACACAGACACACAGAATCGCCGGTTCCCCAGAAAATATCCGAAAATATGGGAAGTGGGGGGGGGAGACGAACATCCAGAAAATGTTGAAAATACAGGAACTCCTGGGATGTGCGTCTATTTGTTTGTGTGTCCCTGGGCCCCTTCACTTCCGTCCGGCCCGAGAGGGCCGGGCGGTCTCGATCAGCAGCTCTGGCCTCTGCGGAAAGCCCTGCCCTGCCCCATCCTCCATCTCGCCTTTCTTGGTCCCGCCTCATCCTCCTCCTTCTCCTCGTCCTCCTCTTCCTCCTCCTCGTCCTCCGACGACGACCAGTACGACGACGACGACGAGTGCGACGACGACGAGTTCGACGACGACGACGACGACGACGACGCCGACTTCTCTCTCCTCCGCCACTGACGACAACGATGACGACGACGGCGACGAGCACGTCGACGACCCTAACGACGATCTCCTCGTCCTCCTCCTCCTCCACCTCCTCCTCATCATCATCACCATCCTCGTCCTCCTCCTCCTTCTCCTCCTCCTCCTACTCCTCCTCCTCCCCTCCTCCCACTCCTCCTCCTCCTCCCCTCCTCCTCTCCTCCTCCTTCTCTCCTCCTCCTCCACCTCCTCCTCCCCCCTCCTCCTCCCTCCGTCCTCCCCCCTCCTCCTCCTCCTCCTCCTCCTCCTCCTCCTCCTCCTCCTCCTCCTCCTCCTCCTCCTCCTCCTCCTCCTCCTCCTCCTCATCGTACGACGACGACGGCGGAAACAGCGATGACGAAGTCAAGCACGACGGCCGCGGAGGCCCCGTGCCGCTACAACTTCCCCGCCATCATGGGGCTGGACGGCGGGCCGCTTCCCCAGGCGTCCCACGTCTGCATGGATTGGCGCTCTCGTTCCTTTGGGGCGTGGCAGGGCGCGGCGGAGGGGGGCCCTTCTTGGTATCGTTCAGACGTGTGCATGTTGTCTGGGCCGCGACCATCGAGGGGCATCGTGGGTCACCTTGCGAGAAGATAAACGCACAGGATCGGACAAGTTCACGGGGAGTGGACGTCCGAGCGATGGCGAGCGTTGGAGGTTGGCCCGTGGGGAGCCTAATGAGGAGGAGGCGGAGGAAAAGGAGGAGGAGGAGGAGGAGGAGGAGGAGCAGAAGCATGACCCTGAGATTTGGGCGTCGCATTTTTCCACGATGGGAGATTCCGCAGGAGGAGGCGGAGAAGGAGGAGGAGGAGGAGGAGGAGGAGGGGGAGGAGGAGGAGGAGGCTGGGAGGATGAGCAGTGGCTTGGGGGGAGGGGGTGATGAGCACGAGGAGCGGAGGAGGAGAAGGAGGAGGAGGAGAAGGAGGAGGAGGAGGCTGTGAGGCGCCCCACGTCTCGGTGGACTGGCGCTCCTTGGGGGGGGGGGGGCGGAGGTGGCCAAGACCAGGGGGAGGAGGCCAGGGGGGGGCGGACGAGGAGGTCGAGGCTGGGAGGTCATACCCGTCGACGTGTGCCCTCTCCCGTGGCGACCCCGCGATCGCGGCCCTCCTCCCGCATGGACGCCACGGCGCTCGGGGCCCTGCGGCGGGCGGGGCGTCGTGTCTTGGGGCCGTCGAGGAGGCTTCTAGTGCCGCCTTGGGCTTGCCAGAGGGCCTTCGTTGAGCCGTCTTGGAGGCCTCTTGGGCCATCACGGGGTTCTTCTGTCAGGCCACGGGCCATCACGGGGTTCTTCTTCTTGGAGGCCTCTTGGGCCATCACTCCTGGGGGCCTTCTGGGCCGTCTTAGGGGCCATCTTGGAGGTTTCTTGCGCCGTCTTGAGCTGATAGAAGGGGGCGAGTCGGGGGACTCCTGGGGGCCTTCTGGGCCGTCTTGGGGCCACCGTGGAGGTTTCTTGCGCCGTCTTGGGCCGATAGAAGCCCGAAAGGGCGGGAACGCGAACATCCGGCAAAATCAGACAAGATCAGTCATGAGATGGGCAAATTCAAGACCTACTGGGGCTCCGCTTTGGACGCATCTTGGACCGTCTTGAAGCCATCTTGGTCCGCCTCGGGCCCATCTTGGGCCGCATCAATGGCATCTCGGACCATTTTGGTGGCCTTTCTTGCTTGCCTCGGCCGTCTTGAAAGCTCGGGAGCGCAGATCCATCGTTGTTGTACGAAGAATCGTGCCCTCGGGGTCGCGGAGCCATTAATCCCAAAAACAGTGTTTGCATTTAGAGGTTCTCATTTGCGTTCCTACAGTCGGCCCGGATTAGTGGGTCGACCCTGCCAGCTCAAGGGTACCCTTGTGCCTTGTGCCTCGCGACACCTGCCTTCTTACACTCCCATGGCGATGTGGCCCTCGGAAGGGTCTCGTGTCCTCTCGCGTGTCCTGTCCAACCAAGGCCGACTGTACGGAATCGGATGAGTGCCCAGGATTCGCCACGCTCCAGCCTGTTGCCGCCCCCTTGCCGCCCGCTGCCGCCCGTGAGGGTGTCCCCGGGATGCGCCTCGTGCCGGCCCGTGGCAGGGCGTGGCCGCTCTTGCCTGGGTGCCTCGAGGGCTTGCCACCTCCCAGCCCGTTGCCGCCCCTTGCCGCCCGTGGGGGTGCCCCGAGGATCTGCCGCGTTCCGGCCCACTGCCGCCCGTTGCCGCCTGCGCGGGTGCCCCGAGGTTCCGCCACGTTGCTGCTCGTTTCCGCCTCGTTGCCGCCCGCTGCTGCCTCGTTGCCGCCCGTTGCGCCTGGGGGATCCGCCGAGGTTCCGCCACGTTGCCGCCAATTGCCGCCTCGTTGCCGCCCGTTGCCTCGTTGCCGCCCGTTGCTCTAGCGCGGGCCCGGCGAGGTTTCGCCACGTTGCCGCTTCGTTGCCGCCTCTCCACATAGCTTGCACCACATAGCTTGCACCACGTAGCTTGCGCCGCATAGCTTACGCCAGGTAGCTCGCACCACGTACACTGCACCACATAGCTTACACAACATAGCATGCACCTCATAGCTTGCACCACATATTTTGCACAGCATAGCTTACAACACGCAGCTTGCACATGCACAGTGAAATGCCTGACTGCTTGGGATCCACGCTGGCCAACGTGTTTAGCAGGCATCGTGGCCTCGGGGGATGCAACAGTCTGCGGTGAGAAGGGGGTGGGGTCTCTCAGATAGAATACAGAAACCAAGCGAGGGGGGCAGGGAGGAGGAAGGGGGGAGGAGGAGGAGGAGGAGGAGGAGGAGGAGGAGGACGGAAGAGGAGACTGACAAGGAGAAGGATGACAAAGAGGATGGAGGGAGAGAGAGGAGTCAAGGGATGAAGAAAAACAGCCCGAGCCGGTAACTGGCGTTTGCTAAATTGCCCTGGGCGTTTACTAAACAGCCATGTCATGTTGTTCGATTCCTTCTTCGGAAGCGTTTACTAAATGGCTTCGCTTGTCGGGATGCTAAGTCTGAGGATGGATGTGTTGCTCTCTGGAGAGGTGGGTGTGGGAATCGAGGGGGTGGGGGAGGATGAGTGGGGGGATGCTGGATGCCGCAGGTATCCGAGCGAGCAGACGCCGCTTCCATTGTTTATTTCATCTTATCAGTCTTCGCCCGTCTCTTCCTTATTCCTTTTTTGTTCCCACGTGATACCCCTGAAGCATCCGAGGAGCCCGTTCGTATCCCTCCTCCTCCTCCTCATCCTCCGCCTCCTTCCTCTCCTCATCATCATCATCACATCATAATCATCGCTATCAGCATCGGCACCCTCTCTTCATCCTCCTCCTCCCATCACTCATCATCATCATCAGCATCACCAAACAGCATGATCACTTCCTCCTCCTCCTCCTCCTCCTCCTCATCCTCCTAACTTCACCCCCCCTCAATCTCCACCTCCTCCTCCCTTCCCTCCTCTCCTGCTCCTCCCTCCGTCTCCTCCTCCTCATCATCATCAGCAGCATCATCATCAGTCCCTGCGTTTACCGCCATCTAATCATCAGCCGCATCATCATCATCGTCATCATTCATCAGCAGCATCATCATTTCATCATCATCACAACCATCATCATCATCATCATCATCATCAT